CCCCAAAACCCCAAAACCCCAAAACCCCGAAAGCAAGTTATCTGTTTGATATTTCTAACAAAATAATAATAATTTTAAAAAGGGTAGACTAAAGTCACAAGCAAAAGTTTTTGCAATTGTACTTGATAAAAACAAAACACATGACAAAATTTTAGAACTTAAATATAAAGAGAATATAGTTCTCTTTGCCTTAGATTTGCCTCTTAGTTGTCATATCCTTTGGAGTTGCGAGAGGATTAATTTGTGGGGATTGTCTTTTCGATTTCCCTGCTGAACTTTGTGATGACTGCAATACAGTCTCTGGAGACGGGTAAGTGATTTACAATTGTGAGATAATATTCTGCTTTAGTTGCAGCAATAAATGCTAAATAGAGTAGGGCTACTATTGCTTTGTCACTGTGGATGGATCAACTTGTAGGGAAAGATGTGGAGATGGAATAAATCTCAATAACGAGCATTAATGTGATGATGGAAACAATTTAAGCAAGGACGGATGTTCCTCTACTTGTGCAGTCGGTAATATTTTTGAATTACAACTATTCTTAGAAGCTGGATTTAGTTGCACAACTGCTACGGCAACTGGAAACAGCCCATCCGTGTGCACCGAAGATTGTGATGGAACATGGAATTATTTTTTACCTTGCGATACAGGCCCAGGACTCATTGGATGCTGCGATAGCTGCACGACTGTTATTACAGGTTGCACTTGCACAAGAGGAGGAGGATGCGGAGAAGATTGTGGATCTGGATTGAATCTCGGAATGAATCCCAGCAAAGAGTGTGATGATGGGAATGCAGATTCTGCTCATGAATACTATGGAGATGGTTGCGATTGGAAGTGCAAAGTCGAGCCAGGTTTCACTTGCCCTCTTACTGGTAAATGCACTGAGACTTGTGGCGCAGGTACTTGGGACAGCTACAATTACGAATGTGATGATGGTAACAACATAGACGGAGATGGATGCGATTAAAACTGTATGGTTGAGTATGGATTCTACTGCTATGTGGGAAATCCATTATTCAAGCATGATAAATGCTATGAGATTTGTGGTGATGGCAAGGACCTGAATAACTACTGGTGTGATGACGGAAACACTGAGTCAGGTGATGGTTGTTCTTCTATTTGCCATATTGAAAGAGGATATTCATGCACTGGAGGAACCACTACTACTCCAGATGTTTGCACTGAGATTTGTGGCGATGGTGTTGATCATGCTTATTATGAATGTGACGATGGAAATCTGATTGATGGTGATGGATGCACTTCAACTTGCACAGTTGAGGTAGGATACAGATGCTTTGCTGGAAATTTTGATGTTGCAGATGTATGCATTGAACTGTGTGGTGATTCAATAAGAATCAACAATACTGTGGGACTCTGCGATGATGGAAATGTTATCAGCGGAGATGGTTGTAGTAAGATATGTGATATTGAAACTGGATGGACTTGCTCAGGTGGCAGTCCAACATCTAGAGATGTTTGTGTTGAGACCTGCGGAGATGGCCTAGCAGTTGGTGGCCTACCATGTGATGATGGAAATCTTATAGATGGAGATGGATGCTCCTCAACTTGTGATGTAGAAAGAGGCTACTATTGTGAAGGAGGATCTAAATATGCGCCTGATATTTGCAAAGAGATTTGTGGAGATGGCTTAAATTACCTTTAATACTAGTGTGATGACAATAATTTAGTAGATGGAGACGGCTGTGACAGCAGTTGTATGATAGAAAAAGGGTGGTATTGCTACGGGGGTGATACTACGACTAGAGATATTTGCAAGTTACTCCCAAGACCAAAGGTAGAAAATATCACGATCACTGCTGATAATACGATAGCTACAATTTACTTCAATGAGACAATCCTTCTAGATGCTGATTGGAACACAACCATATTCAACAGTTATGTGATCGGACCTAAATCCCCATATGCAATGTCTTGGGAACTTCTAGATGTTACTTTCCACAAGTAGCAGGCTACTCAAGTTTATCAACTCCAATTAGATATCAAAGATTAACTCTATGAAAGTATTAACTAGGTAAGATAATTTACATTAATGGCTAAAATAGATTTTGGCAGTTGACTTTGTACTAACAGATTTTTATCGAAGTTACACAACGACTAGACCTCTGCTCAACTAAACAATATATGTCACTCTCAATCCCCAATTAGACTTAGGTGACTCTGGTAAGTTATGAATCAATTAAACAACAATAGGCTGCAATCAAAGTTGGATCAGAACTGTGCTGCTTGTTGTTTACATTGCCTTCGTCATATTTTGCATAATTACTTGCATTTTTATGAAGCTAAGTCTGTTCCCTTTGATATTCATGACAATGAGCTTTTAAATGCTTTAGATAGCACCAGTGATGAAACTTTTATGGCCAAGCTGTGTCAGAGACTTTTTGTACCAGTTTAACATAATGAACTTCGAAAGCGACTTCCTTTATGATAAGTTAATTGATTAGAGTTCCACGACATACCCTTAGATAAATAAGTACTACACTAATCATGGATATGATACCTCGATATTCCTTTATAATGTGATGGATATGCTATTCTTTTCTGCTTTCTTTGTTGCATTGATACCCTTGTTTTTTACTCTCAAGAGATTATTCTCTAAAGTGTAAGATTTCTCATTCTATAAATCTGATAGGGATTTCATGCAATCTCTTTGTAAAAGATATTATACATCCGTGATTTAATAAATAATGCTTTTGATCTACATGAAACTGGCTCTAATTTCAATGCTGAATTATTACAATGTATTATTTGACAAAATTAACCTTAATTTCATAACAGTTCAGAATTTATGATAACACTCAGGGCTATTCAGATGTTGCAAATCTGGTGCTTACAATGGGTGTACTTGGAGGATTACCGCTGCTTCATTTGATCCTAGTTATTAAGAGAGCCTGTTTGAATTATGGTGTTAACAAATAGTTTTAAAAAGAGAAAAAGAAGAAGGACATCCTAGAATAAGCCTAGGATAAGGCAGACGGCAATGAGGATTCCCCAGATAAGAAAAAGAAAGATGAAGATAGCGATGACGAGTACTCACCAGAGTAAAGAAATCAGCTAATGGACGCCTAGAGAAAGATAAATGACTATAGATTCAGGCATTCATTCTTAGTGCAAATGGCTTGGGGTGACCTCAATGATAAGGAAGGAGGCAAGCTCTTTTTCTTTGTCGGCTAATGTGTGAAACGTCTAATCTATGCCTTCGCTCTAGTCCATTATAGAGAAGATGCTTGTTTAGCAGCTCAGTACTTGATGCTTGTTAATATTGGAGTAATCAAATCAAATTTAATCGACTATAGTCTATGGTCATTACAATGGGAAGTCATCCATTTAAGTATAGTTACCTATACTAAATTGCAGTAGCTGATGAGCTATTTTTATCCATAGCATCAACCACACTATTTGCCTACTATCAGAAAAACTCTCCAAAGGAGACAGTCTAAGGCTTTTGTAATTATATAAAAGTTATTGACATTATATAGCATACATTATGTTTGCTTGCATAGGTGGAATGATGCTAACTAGTGTTTACTTTATGATTAAAGAGATACTAAGGCGAACCAAGCCAGACTACGCTGAGATGATGGAGTCAGGTCCTCCTAAGCTCCCAGATTTCTACAAGCCAAAAACTAAGGAGGAGCAGAAGAAGGAAGAGGAAAAAAAGGAAAAAGATGAGGCTAAGAAAGAGGAGCAGGAGAAGAAAAAAGAAGAGGAAAAGAAGCAAGAGGAGAAGCTTAAAGATTAGAAAGAGGAGAAGTTGCCTCCCAAAAATAAAAAAGATGATAAAAAGGGTAAGGATGGCAATCAATCCATAGAAACTGATGATGCCTTGGGTGATAGCGACCTTGTCTCTCAGGATATATCAGTATCTGATGATGAGGATGATGACTATGATGATGAAGATGATGATAGGACTGATAAGACCAATAAACCAGATCAAACTGATGAAAGTAAGTCAGCTGGCTCTCTCGAGGGTGGAGATGTGGTAGAGGATAGAGAATAGGAAAGTAAAGATTCAGATGATCCGAATTTTGTGCCTGAGTATTCATAAGCCTAGGTAACAAATAAGGGAGAGCTATTTGCTAGTAACTTTGGTAAAAATCAGCAAATAGATGATAATGGAGTAATTAAAGCGACCAAATATACTCAATGAATTCATAACCAAAGTAATGATCATATGAGTTTCAACTTCAAAATAATATTATTTTAACAAAAATATTCTTAATTTCATAAATCCTTTTATAGAAAATAGATCAGATCAGAGGGGTTTTGGGGTTTTGGGGTTTTGGGG